CGGAAATGTCATTTTAAGTTCCCAAACTTCAATTAAAGTATACAAAAAGGTTCTCCAAGGTTCATAGATCATTTTGGTACCATTAATTTGTAGTTTTAACAACAATTTCAAAGTTTATGATTCTTGGTTCTTCAAACATGTCAAACACAAAATTCAACCAAACGACCGTTTATGAACGTAGAAACGATCTATATGAACATTCTAATCACTAGATATATCAATGGGCTTACCTCGAAGCTTATTGAAGGTTTTGGAAATTTTCCGGCGAAACTTCCGGCGACGAATACTCCCAACTCCGGCGACTTTACACCAAATTGACAGCACTACTTCACTCTCTACACTCTCAGCTATCTCTTGGAAGAAGATTGGTGAAGAATGGTGAGAAATTGGAGGGTTTATATAGGAAGGAGGAGTGGGAAGAAGCCATGGGAGATGACCTCCCAATACTGTTTTGGCGTCTCAGTGGGGCGGACGGCGATTGCTTAGGGATTCCAGACGCAAGTCCCTGATTGGGACTAAATTGGTTCCAGTCGGGGTATAATTTTTGGTCCAACTTTCTCCGAATTGAAATCCGTTTACACCGTTGTGATCGTGTAGTTAAACTCTATCCAATGATATAATTTCTATATTTATTTGTTATACTTTTTCCGACATCATATTTTTGAGTGTTTGACTTTGACAGAGTCAAAATTGATTCAATTGACCTTTATTCAAAAAGGTTCTCATAATTAATTCATATCATTTATTCCCATGATTTATTTCAATAAATCATTTCAAAGTTCACATTACAAACAATTTCTTCATTTATTCTTAATTTGGGTATGTACTCAGGTTCCCAATCAAGATCACACAATAAGTCAACTAATTGGATTTATCTCTATGAGATTTATCCTGCTTGTGATATTAGATATGAAAACACATTTTATTTCGACCCAAAGCCCAACAATAATTTATTTTAATCAAAACAAATTTTGTTTAATTGAATATTTAATTCAAGAAATTTTAGGGTATATTTTGGGGCGTTACAGGTAGTATTTGGTTATAATCACCTTCTTATTCTTATTTGGGCAAGGTTCCCATGACATTGGGAACCAATGTCATGGGATGACCCAGGGGTGCTCCGGTGCCGCGTTCGTAAAATTGACGGTTCATACCCCTCCTAACCCCCCTGGTAAACCCCCCACCCTGCCCCGACTCGAACACGCCCCCGCACACCCCTCCAATTGCACCCCACAAGTTGATTTTGACTTTTGAAGTCAAATTTTGACTCCAAAGTCAAAATCAACTTGTGGGGTGCAATTGGAGGGGGTGCAATTGGAGGGGGTGCGGGGGCGTGTTCGAGTCGGGGCGGGGTGGGGGGGGGTTTATCGGGGGGTTAGGGGGTAGGATCCGTCAATTTTACGAACGGGACACCGGAGCACCCCCGGGTCATCCCATGACATTGGTTCTCAAGAACCAATGTCATGGGAACCTTGGTGTTCTTATTTTATGGTAGGTGTAATATTTTAATGAATTTTCATTCTATATTTCTAGTTGTATTAGGAGTCCTTTCTATATATACTATATCATGTATTCTATAGTTCAATGAGAAGTATTATTATTCCAATATTTCAACATATTATCAGAGCCTAATCCGATCTCTCTCTTTTCTCGATAAACATAAAAAAAATCAGCACAACGTCGATCTTCTCTTCCAAATCGCCGACCTTCACGCTTCCCAGCCGATCGTCAGTCGCTTGCTTCCATGGCACCTCTCTCTACCGGTCCTATGGATCGTCTTCCTACAAGTCTTAAATTGTTTATCCGGAATATTCAATCTTTTACACCGACCAAACTTGTTGACACAGACTACCCATCCTGGTCAGCACCATACTATAAAATCTTTTGGCTCATCGTCTTCTTTGTTATGTGGATGAATCTGAATATGCACCACCTCCTTTTTGTTGGGCGAAAAAGGAACTGCTTCTGGTAAGGATGATCCACCAATTATGAAATCTAACCCTATCCATGAAACATGGATGATTGTTGATGCACAAATCCAGACATGTCTTTTGGCTATTGTTTCTCCCACCAACCAAATGCATATCCATGCCCTCTTCACGTTTGCGGTAACTTGGAGTCACCTTGAACAACGGTATAACTTCATGTCTCGTACTCATATTGTTTCTTCTCTAGCACTAGCTCATGAGAAAATATCTGAGCATGATATTATTTTATGTGTTATTCGTGGCCACCCGTCCCTTAAACGATTTCTCTTTTCTTTTTTCATATCCCACGGATTTCTTTTCTTATCTATTAAAATATCACTTTTACCCATATCAATTCTTATCTTATCTCTCAAATCATACATTTCACTAATAATCGATTTATCACATTTTACTTTTATCTATCACATCAAAAGCATTTTTGAAAAGTCAAAATAAAAATATCTCCCTCTTAAATTCTCAAAAAATCAATAAGGAAAGAACTTTAAGGGACGGAGGGAGTCTATCATTTTTCCTTAAAGGCAGGACATTTTAGAATTTTTCAATGTCAAACGTTAGACCAGATAAGACTAGTCTTATTTAAGAAAAACTGATACATTAAAGTCTAATTTACGTAAATTACCTTTTGATTATTAGTCACATTCTTATTCTTATTTATAGTAGATAGATGTAATCATGTACTCCGTAATATATTAGTGAATTTATATTGTTTATTTCTAATTGTGTTATAACTTATAAATCCCTCTTATATACTTTATCATGAATTTCATAATTCAATTAGCAATATTGTTATTTCAATACTTCAACATAAATAAATACAACCAAAGTTATTTGATGCTCGATGGCAGCATGCATTCCCTATGTTAACGAAATTAAAAGCAAAT